CAGAGGCTGAGAGAAAAGGGGGAGTTAGGTACAGATAAAGAACAGAAACAGGGAGTGGGGACTTCGAGTCTCCATATGTCCAAACAAACCATTCCTAGTACATTTGGTACAAGAATATGCCCCCCCCCCCATCTCATTCTTTGAAGCCCAAGCAAGCATGTCCTCATGTTTCACAGAGACAGGAATGGCCCAGCAACTACAGTTAGCCTAACTTTGGCTAAGCTGGCCAAACAACCTGTTCTATACTCCATTTTCCTTGGACCTAACAGCGGGATCATTCCCCCACTTATACAGGTCTCCCCGCTGATGCCCCTGGGAACCCAATGGAGGGAAGGTTGGCGTAGGAGGATGAAGGTTTCGCTGTAACACAGGCACCATCTCTCCGAAGTAGGGTAAGTTCAGTTGGCATGACCACTGGCTGCTCCTCACCCCACTTCCTCCCGCCAAGAACCCGAGCCCCGCCTGCAGCCCCTGCTCTCACTGCCGCAGCCGGGGTCCCCTTCACGGGCAGCGCGGTGTCTTCTTCTCGCCCCGGCTCGGGGTTGCCCGGCCTCGGCCCCCAGCCCTGCCCGGATCCGGGCCCCTCCGGGGTCAGCCTGCCTAGCCAATCGGGTAGCTCTCCCGCAGCCTGGGGGCCGGGATGAGATCACTCCCGGCCCAGGCAGGCGGCCCCTGCTGCTCCCTGCTGGCGCCGCCCCAGCCTCCGCCTCTGCCCTCTTCGCCCGCGGAGTTCGCTGCGAGGCCTGCCTTGTCCGGCGGGCTCGGAGCCCTGGCCACCGCCCCCACAGCAGGCGGGGGAAGAACCCGGCCGGTTCCTCTGCGAGTTGCTGCCGCCGACCCTGGCAGGGTGAGTGCTCGCGGGGCCATTGTTTGAATGAGAGGCCGGGCGGGGAGCAGCCCCCAGCTGCTGGAGGGAGAGAAACTGGGCCCGGCCGGGGGCGGGGGGGTGTTCAGCCGTCGCCGCTTGCAGTTCCCCTGCGAGTTTGCAAGGAGTGGGCTGCCCCATGCTTGCGGGCAGGGTGGGGCTAGCGAAAGCACCAGGGGAGTTAGGCGGTGTGTACCTAACTCCCCTGGATGCTTTGGCTAACCCCACCTGAGCCACGCACCCCTTTATAGTGTGTAGCTCTCTTGCCACATATTTATCTATGCCTATCTACGAGAGACGCGCTGCAGTACGCGTCTCAAAAATCACTCATTAACTTCAGTCTTAGAACCCCCAGGAGGTCTGCCTGGCTGCGGGACCGAGACATCCCTAGGAGTTTCCTGCTGGATTGGGAACATTTTGATAGGGAGCAAAGGGCCAGCGTGGACTGGACTGGCTTTCGGAGCTGGAGACTGCTTGGCGTGGTCCGCAGGCAGTAGGGAGTACTGTGGAGTTCAGTGCGGGAAGAAGCTGGCTAGCTGCTGTTTCTCTGTCACATGCCTAGAGCAGGCAAGTTGCTGGCCAGAGCGAGATTCTTGAGTGACTGAAGGGACGGGGGGGATCCAAGGCATCAATATAAGATTTTCTGCCTAGGGTGTCCTGGGGAAAGGGAGGGCCACACTTCACACTCCCCCATCTAGACAGGAATCAGACCTGCTTGGGAGATTCTGCACTGCTGGGAAGGGATTGGTTTCTTTGGCTCCTGGGTAGGATATTATGCTATCCACCACTGTGGGCACCATGTTCTCTCCCACCACCCTCTTATGGTTCCTGGAAGTAGCTGCCTCAGTAGCATGGTGCATGTGGCAGTACTGTGGGGAAACGCTGATTGCAGAGCTGTGATGTCAGGCTGGGAGGCGGTGCTCACAAAATTGCAGGCACACAGCATGAGTTTAGTGGCATTGTTGCAGGCACAGGGTAGGCACTTGACCCCAGACCTAGTTCCATCAGGGAGCTCCCTGTGAAACAAATCCCTGTCCCACTAGGCAATGGGTGCCTATAAGTATGCCAGCTGGCTCCAGTTAAAAGGGACATTGCCAACTTGAAAGTTATATTTCTCTCTGAAAATACCTACTGTTGTTACAGATCACACTTTGATTCCTATTGGTGAAAGAGACAAGAGGGGGCAACAACTCTATTTCTTTTCCAGTTCATTTTGTGCATTTGACAACAATTGTTGTGTAGCTGGTTTCATTGTTTTGTTGCAATCAGGTGCACTTCTCATCCCATAGCTTAGCATGAGGACATCATTGGCACGCTCTGTCCCAGGCCCTGGTCTGCAGGAAACTCACTCCTTCACATCTTAATAGATTTGTAAGGCCAGGATGGATCACTGTGATCTAGCCTGGCCTGCATGACATAGACCTTAGAATTTTCCTCAGTGATTACTCATTTAAACCCTATCTTCTGGGTGAGCAAATGTGTAAGTACTTATATGGCCCCCATCATCACAGAATGCACTCATCTTCACAAGTACCATCACCCCCATAAGGTGCCACAAGTACTCTTCTGTTCTTTTTGCAGATACAGACTAACACGACTGCTACGCTGAAACCTATCATCCCCATAGTCTCCCTGGCAGTTGGTCCCTAAGTCACTTGACCAAGTCCCCCACTCTTCAGCACAGTAGGGAATTAAACCCAGCTCTCCTGAGTCTCTAGCTAGCACCCTAAGCAGTGGGCAGTCCTTCCTGTGTACCAGGCCCTGCAAGAGGGTGGTCAGCAATGGAGCTGAAACAGAAACCAAAGAGGCAGCTGGCAGGAGTGTGCAGAGTGGAAGGGCCTGAGCATGTTTATTGGTATTGGTCTCCGTTCCACCCCAAAGACCCTTCTGAACATGAGCAAGACAACACGAACCCCTCTAACAGCTTTAAAGGAATAGGGATATTTTAAAATCAATACTATTTAAAGGGGGATCTTAAAAAAAAATCCAGTTTCTGATAATTTGATAATTAGAGTGGACAGTATCCCTTTAAATGACCTTCCTCTCCCCTCACCCCCCAGTTCTGAGGTGTGATGGGAAAAGTAGAGATGGCATCAGAGAAGTTTATCATTCTTAAAGAGCCTTAGAAAACTATTCTAAAGTTTCAGAGTAGCAGCCGTGTTAGTCTGTATCCGCAAAAAGAAGAACAGGAGGACTTGTGGCACCTTAGAGACTAACAAATTTATTAGAGCATAAGCTTTCGTGGACTACAGCCCACTTCTTA